TCACTCTGCGATCTCCTTCAGGTGACGCAAGCAGTATTTTCCCTTTGCGTCTATACGACGACGATGCAGCTTCGAGAACCGGCCAAGCCGGTGTTGGTATTGCCTCGAGTCCCCGGGATGAATCTGCTCTGATTGATTGGATTCCAATCAGTAGCCGGTTGTGTGCGGTCCGATTGGCTGAGTCGTTCAAGGCTTCGAAGTCGCGTGGGACTAACAGGTGTCTATTCGTCGTCGCTGCCTATACACGCATAAACTGTAGCGATGATTCTGTAAAAGACGACTTCTATCGTCAACTGAACGAACTCTTTCGCCACAGAAGAAGCTCGGACACTGTAGTGCTGGCTGGGGATCTGAAGGCTCAAGTTGGAAAATTATCCACAGATGAGCTGCGTCTGAGCAGTCAGCACGGTGTAGGCTCCAGTAATGATAACGGTGAGCGGTTTCTTCATTTGTGTGAGGATGTTAGTTTATTTCTTGTAAGCACTAATTTCAGACAAAGCACCCATCGGAGGGTGACTTGGTGCCTACCAGCCTCGAACCAGCTTTGGATGCAAATCGATCACGTTGCGAGAAGTAACCGATGGAGTGGCTGCTACCAGAACTGTCACTCGATTTGGAGCACATTTGTGGACAACGACCATGCACTTGTATGTGCTGACATGCGGATGCGCTTTGGCGGACGCCCACGACGACGTTTTGAGCGCATTGACACCAGCCAACTGGCAAAGCCAGCTGTTCTGAATGCCTATCAAACTACGCTGTCATGCGAGTTGGATAAACGCTCGCTGGATGCAGTTGAAAGTCACTGGTCTCATATTCACCAGACCTTATAAGCAGCCGGAAAATCCTTATGTGGTATGTCTAATAGCCAACATGGACATTGGGTCTCTTCATAGTCTCTGGAACTTATCGACGCTCGCCGGCATATTCCGGCTGGAAGCGAACATAATGAAACTCGCAAACAGAACCGGGAAAAACTCCGTGCCAGCCTGAAGAAAGACCGTGCATCCTGATAGGCTCATCGTGCATCAGAAATGTAAATGGCCGCTGCCCTTGGTAACCATCGTAAATTATTCCGTCTGATACGGGAAACGGGCAACAAAAGACCTGATGTTAGTGAAACTATACGTGACGAGAGTAGGAAACATATCCACAACTTATCAAAACGCTTAGAGCATTTGGCTAAGCACTTTAAAAAACAATTTATTCAGTGGAAATTGTTAGATTTCTCGCCGGCCACTGATGACCACGTTCCCTGGACTGTCCATTTGGATCCACCCTCTCGCTCAGAAATCGAACGTGAGATCGAACTATTGAAGTTAAAGAAAGCCGCGGGACGTGCTGATCTTCCTCCAGCCATCTTCAAATTCGGAGGACCTGTGCTTGTGGATGATTTACACAAGCTAGTAGTGAAATTGTGAGAGCATGAAACTGCCCCAACGGATTGGAGCCTATCCGTCGTAGTCCAAATTTTCAAGGGAGGCTCGCGATCGGAATGCGGCAGCCATACTGAAATCAGTCTGATCTCCATCGCCTTCAAATTGATTGCCTCTGTCATACTTCACAGACTGACTGGCACTCGTGAAAGCTAGATTCGTTAAGAGCAAGCTGGATTTCGTCAAGGTCGTGGCTGCATTGACCACATCTTCATCTTGCGTCAGATGTTGGAGCACCGCCACATATATTGGCGGCCCACCGTTATCCGGTTCCTCGATATCAAAGGTGCATTCTATTCGGTGGATAGACTTGCACTTTGGGACTGTCTACTCAGAAAAGGTGTGCCCGAGAAATATGTGAATACTATCGGAGCATTATATGCTCGTAGCTCGGGCAGAGTGAGGGCTTACGGAAAGTTGTCGTCGCCATTTAATACCTCCAGCGGCGTGAGACAAGGATGCTCGCTGTCACCTTTCCTCTTCAACATCACTATTGATGAAGTCATGGAAATCGCGTTCACAGCACACGACTTTGAAGGTGTGGAGCTACTCCCAGGAGAACGACTTCTTGATTTGGAGTATGTTGATGATATTGCCCTAAACTGTGACAGCTCACAAACGTTTCAAGCCGCGCTGGACAGATTAGCACTGGCTGTACGTCACTTCGGGATTTGCTTCGCATCCTCGAAGTGCAAAGCGTTACTCCAAGATGGGTCTAGACTGCATCCTACTCTGACTGTTGGTGGGGATCAGCTAGAAGTCGTACAAAACTTCAACTACCTGGGACGTTGTATCACGCCCGTGGGATTGAGGATGAGATCACGAACCGTATAGCAAAAAGCTCGGGGCGCTTTTGCTAACCTTCGCCACTTATGGCGCCGGCGCCACATCACACTTGCGCTGAAGGGTAGAGTGTATATTGCAGCAGTACGTTCGACCCTACTGTACGGTTGTGAAACCTGGCTGCTTAAAGCAGCGGACCTGAAGAGGCTAGTTACCTTCGACCACCAGCGCCTTCGCAATTTACCTCACTTCTAGTGGGAACACCGCGTGAGCAACGAGCGTGTTCAACGCCTTGTTCATGGCACAGGGAAAGGAAATGAACCGCTCAGTACCGTCATTTCACGCACCAGGCTCCGATGGCTTGGGCACGTGTTACGCATGCCAGCTCACTGACTCCCGCGAAGTGCGTTGTTTGCGCGACGGGGTGTGGATGGAAGAAGAGGAGGGGTGGCCAAGCGATGACTTGGTTCAGAGGAATGAAGGCCCTCACTTCTGAACTGGTCTCGGTTGGAGCTTCTCGGCTCCCTGGTTGGGGTCGGAAAGACGATGCACACGTTTGCTTAGACACACTAGCTGATATGGCTAGGAGCAGACCTAAGTGGCGTTCGTGCTGTGAGTTTCTTTGTCCCACCCCATTCATCTTAACCTCTCCCTCTAACCACGATCTCATTATTTAGTCACATTTAATTTTGCATAGTAATTATTTTTGATGCACAGTAGTCGGCTGGTAGCTTACCGGAACGATGCCCATTCATTAACGGTAGCTCAGCTTGCACCAGTTGCATTTTTCTCTCTCCTTTTTTTCTGTTTATTGCGACACGGTAGCCGAGGTGTTCTCCACCTTTGGCTAATGTGAATGATCATGATGATGATGCCTTGTGTGCGTCTGGTACACATTACTTCCCGATTAGACCAACTGGCATGTTGCATCTGTGCATGCTGAAGAAGTTCGACCCCTCACGTTTTTCAACCGTGCCTACCGTTCACCTCCAGGTCTTATTCCTTCAGGATTATACTGCATGTGTGATGTGTGGATGGAGTTGTGGGTGGTGCAGTGCAAGCTACCCATAGTCCCTCTGTAGACGCAGGTGTCCTTTGGCTGTCCTATGGAGTCCACAGTGACAGGTCAACCCAGAACCGGATGCAGTCAACCATATAAAATCGAGAAAAGCCAGCACCGTTTAGATAACCATTTCCATAGTCTCGCAAGCTCGCATGGTTTGCGGCTTCCACTTCAGAAATTGCCCGACATTGTGGCAGCAAATAGCGCCATGGCTTCCGCCCTTTATAGGGAGCATCTTTGACTTATGCTGCATCATCCATAGCTCCATCCACACATCAACTATCTAGTAAAAACTCTGACAGAATAGAACTTTGAGGCTTGTGGATGGGAAACACGATTGATTCGATGCATCACTGCAATCCTTCAACAATGAAATCAGTAGGATGAAAATGAGAACATATAGGCAATAGATTTACGCTTGGCGGTGACTGGCCAGTGGCATTTATCACACTAAATGGAAACAATCTTTGAGCCTAGCGCCTTCAAGAAGATAACCCAACCCGTCTTCTTTAGCGATAATTAACTATGTCTTGGGGACTGCAGTATCAAGGTGGTGATTTTCGACAGATATGCACTTTGACAAAAATCAGCACTGCGGTACTAACTGGAACATGATGTCAACCCTGCGCCGGCGCAAATTTCCAGACCCATGCGAAGACAAAGTACAAAAACAATGAGATACAATTGACAAATTCGACATGTTAGTGGCGAAGCTACTTTCTAAGCCCTGCAAGTTATCCCAACAGGTGACCTTGGGCCGACGGTGTAGGGAAACCATTTGTTCGATCAGCATTCTGACAGTCCGTCCAATAAGGAAGATTAATGGGACAGAAGCATATCGGTGACGGTGGTATTACACTGAGTTGCTGGAATGATGATACGTAGCATGGCGACGAAACATTTCTAACTGGTATTTACTGCGGAAAATACCTTAAGCCTCTCATCTGCACGCAGGGCTACAACCATTCTCGTTATACGCTGTGTTATTTGATCATTCAGGAATTTTACATTGTTTGGAAGTAGTCAAATTACGGCACTGACGAGACGCCTTGTCATGTACTTCGTACATCAGGCTGTGAAACGAAATCTTTAGTGCCGTTTGTGATTGGTTCTGCTTTTGCATTGGTCGGACGCTGCTCCTCTCCGTTATTACATGGACAAATCACAGGTTCCAAGGCTATTTGGACTATTACACATTGTCAAAGTCAAGGTCTTGGCGCTGGTGCCGTCCCACTTGACCATGGTTAGTTGCACGCATCAGTGTACTATACGTTAAGACCAACGGGCATGCAGTGTTCCCATCATCGGCCTTCTATCTCTCTGAAGTCTCTGAACTTTCGGTCTTATTATAAGACCTTCCCCATTCGTTTGCATATAACACGGTTGATAAATTTTTAACAAACATTCGTCCATCTCCACATGACACAAGCCACTTACCAGTCTGAATTACCACGTAGGCGTGTAAATTACATGCAAACATTATAATTCAAATGTAGTTCAGCGCTTTTATAAAGTGAATGGGATGTCAGTCAACATAAATTCATACATTCGGCCTTAGCTCATCATTAATATCGCTAAGTCAAACATCCAAATTGATTTCAATCGATTCATCAACCCCACAACTATATCATTCTCCGTACACTTAGGAAGGGTCATCAAAACCTTCTAATTGTTATCGATCTGCATCGTTTAACTGTCTGGCAAAAAGCACAACTCACCTGGGTGTAATGTCCACACATCGATGCCGTACAGGTATGAGTGTCATATACATAGTTCTTATATTCTTTCATCCACAAACTGGTAGCACTGTGTTGTAAAGGTGACAGGACAGAATGGTGCGATTTGGTCAGACTTGTGCCAAAAGTTTAATATGTGCAAAAATGGGCTAATTCGATCAAGTAAAAGCGAGATAGTCTCTAAGTAGGAATGTGTCTAAACCCATTCGTTTTATTTCACATGATAGAGCTGGAATTCCAAGTATTTACAATAATACTTTGTGGTAAATGAGTTTAGAAGCCAAGCTGTCTCAAAACTTGTACCTGCCTATTACACAAATCTGGTCTTTCATCTATTTTCAAATGGTTATGTTCAACAGGTTCGATCTCCAAAGGTAAACGATCACATCTAAGACCTAATATTGAAAAAGCAACGGTTTGTTGCTCGACTATGCGAGACACAGTCCAATGCGATAGCATAAAATAGTTGATTGTTCTTGTTTCTTATAATGGATCCCGAATGCGTTTTCAAACTGATTGGCAGTTTGAAGGTATTAGTGGCATTCAGAAACTGGGAACAAGAAGAAGTGGGGATTTAACTATAAATTAAAGAAAAGTAAGACAGTCATTCATGAAACCGTCTCCACGAGACTTGCTTCCATGCGGGATATATCCCCTCAATGGGTTTCAACGGCGATTCCATGCTCCAACTGACTGTGTGCCGATGTGGTAAAATGGCACGTATTCACCAGTGCTATATCAGCAGCATGCGCCGAAGTTGTAGAGCACTTCCCAAAGTAATCATCTTCTCATTCAGTAATCCCATACAATAGCAAACACCGGTTGTGCCCAAATGGTGTACACAGCAGTAAATATAAAGCCGTCGACTGTAGTCTGTTTTCCAAATAGCTTTGCTTCGTTCATTGCGACCGTATTTTCCTTACTGTCAACTTAAATGTTCTATGCAACTACATTAGTATATATTTTGATAGATTCGCTCACACTACATTTCGACACTTAGCTCATAGCAACAAAACGCGTAGGTCACGTAAAACAACCAAAAATCGCATGAAGTTGCTAACAGCATACCGTAACACGAACAACTTCTCCTTCTTGGTGCAGTATCAAAAGTTGACTACAACTTTATTGCTGGAATGACACACCACCCAGATCGCTGATGAAAACGAGCCCTCTGGAGCAAGTGTGAACACTGCGAGCTAATCAACCTTGTTAGAGGAGGAATACCAAACGGAATCAAGACACGATCTTGCTGGTTGCAGCAGACAATAGCATAATAACTGGCTGTGCCCACAGCGGTAACACATTTAGTCCGTACTGCTGCGTTTCGTTTAAGGTTGATGATAACCCCAAAAAATTGGATATCCAGTCCAACTAGCTATGGCGACCACCTGTCTTTGGCGAACACCGGAAAATCTCCAACAAATTTCCCATATGTTCTCCTCGGTCTTCACTAGTCTAAGGCAACCGCCACCACGCTTTTGTGGTGCCCAGACGGTCTAGCAGCTGGTCAAGGCGACCACCTATAGCACTACTGGCCGAGATTGAGAGTCTGGCACCTTATCAGACACATAATTTAGATTTCCTTTCAAGATGTCATAAGTGCCCCAAAAACCACACCAAGACCCTGCAGGGATTCATTATCGCCTAGGTTCACGCATTCTGTGTCACTATATTTGATTCCCCATAGGCTGGTTACTACTTCCGTTGTCGCAATTGACCAGTTCACGTTGCTTAACTCTCCTAATATCACTAGTTTATCCTCACACCAGGGAGCAAATTGCCTTCACGCCAGACTTGCTCAGTGACCAATTACCCCCTGGAATAACGCATGTACCCCGCTATGGACTGTGCACTAAACCAATCGGAGAGAGCCATGGTACCCAACGAAAGAACCGTGGGACTTCACACACTATGGGTTTTGTGATACTGTTGTACAGTCACAAGTACTGTGACTCACCTTTCAGTGCGTATTTGTTTACTGTCTAACCAGTCGGTTGTCAGCAAGGAGCGGATACTGTTGAGGTACCTCCACACTGAATATTCATGTTTTTTTATATATTTCTTTGTAAATACTTACCAAAGCCAAAATGGTTAGTTCCAAACTATCAAAGCCAAAGGGATTAACATGGAGAAAGAATATCAGTGATTCAACAAAAACAAGAAGGAAAACGTTCCCAAACATTGGTGAAAAAATTCGAAGTAGGAAAGATAAAACCTACCAACTTTAAAAAGGAAAGCGAAGTAGTGGATTGACTTGGAGAACAACACACCAGGACAAAAGAAGAAGACTAAAAAACGGGTAATGAAGACTGACATGCAATTTGCTGGAAATGGTGTCAGTCAGCACTGGCAAGAAAAGTGCCATTATCTCGACCCAGGATTCAAGAATGTGCCTTTCACTTCGCAAAAAATTTGCAAAACCAAGAATTTAAAGCATCAAACGGTTGACTGCAAGCTTTCATCAGTGGACACAACCTTGTGTTTGATAAGCATTTAGGCCCAAGACCTGATTCGTATAAATATATATATATATATATATATATATATTTATATGTATATGGCGGGAGAGCCTATGGTGCGCTGAGGCTGGTGGTGGCTAGATCCTGACAGATGGTCTACCCACTGCTGCTACTGTTGTGCCTTTTGCTTATGTCCTGGGCGCCTCCACGTGGCGACCGCTGGGTGGGATTTGGGTTTCGCCCTTCTCCCTGCTAAGATCCAGGACACCAATCTGCATGAGTCAGTGAGCTGACCATGTGCTAGACCCGCTGCCTTTCGGGTGTTCATTTAATCGAAGGCTTTGGCTGAGGACCCGAGTCGTTCTCCTGTCAGGTGCGGGCGCCCTGCCAGTATCCTAGTCCATCCTCTTCGGAGGTTAAGAAGTGGTCGATGGCCCACTTCTCGTAAAACCTAGCCATGGGAGACAACAGGTTTCCGGGTTATAAGCTCACAGCTCGATTAGCGTAGAGCACGAGTGCCAGGCATTATCTCTGACAGTGGTAGAGCACCTCCGGGTGTTCAATGGTTTGCTACTGCCCGCCTCAAGCCAGGCAGCCCCTGGTCAAATTGGTGCAAACCCGCCAAAACCCACCTGCGTCTGGCCGTGGTCGCAGGTGCGCATCCTACTACGGTCGCAAAACGTATAATAATGTTTCCAGTACCTCAAAGGTTGTGTGTAACGGCCGTCAAGCAGATCCCAATCTGTCTCTGCAATCACATTCCCGAGCTGGATCTGCGCCCCACTGCCTTGTGGGTTAGGCTATTGAGCCAAAGGCTCCGGGCGGAGTCCCTCAAACAAACCTCCAAACAACCCACTGCCTTGTGGGTAAGGCTATTGAGCCAAAGACTCCGGGCGGAATCCCTCAAGCAAACCTCAGAAGCACAACGACCATCTCGCGTGCGATTGCCCACCAATGCAATCGTACGCCTGCGCGCAAAGCACTCAGCATCGGGTGCTGGAACGTGCGCACACTACTGGACCGGAACTCCAGCGAGCGCCCGGAGCGACGCACTACACTGGTCGCGATGGAGCTGGCGCGCTACAACATCGATATTGCGGCGCTCAGTGAAACTCGGCTCGCTGAGCAAGGTAAGTTACATGAAGCAGGTGCTGACTACACATTCTACTGGGTGGGCAACGCCGCCTCAGCACCACGTGAACATGGGGTCGGATTTGCAATATCCGATCGCCTCCATAGCCAGCTGGTGGGTGAACCAACAGGCATCAGCACGCGACTGATGACCGTTCGCCTACGACTCGGAAGAGGTAAGTTTGCTACTTTTATAAGCACGTACGGTCCGACCATGTGTTATCCTGATGACACTCGTGATCAGTTCTACACTGAGTTATCCTCCGTGATACGGTCTGTGCCGAGGAGCGACCGACTATTTCTGCTGGGTGATTTCAACGCGCGCGTTGGGCGTGATGCATCAGCGTGGACAGATGTTATCGGTGCGCATGGCATTGGTTCAGCGAATGCGAACGGTGACAGGCTGCTCTCACTGTGTGCCACTCACGGCCTGACGATCACGAACACTCGGTTTGCACTGAGTGCGAGTGATATAGCAACTTGGACGCACCCACGGAGTGGTCACGCTCACCTGCTCGACTATGTCATCATGCGTCAGCGTAATATGCGTGAAGTGCGCATGACACGTGTACTGCGTGGAGCTGAGTGTGGCACTGATCACAAGTTGGTGCGGACCAAACTGTACATTTAATTTCATAAATCAATGTATTGCACTCCCACCGTGAATCGGCGTAAATTTAACATTCTCTCCCTCGGTACTGTGGCGAAACGTACTGAGCTGGAGAAGGCGATGGCTGCACGCCTGTGTGGTGTGGAAAGCATAGCCACAGTGGGCGACCTGTGGCACCACATTCGCGACCAGGTGACAGCTGCTGCCGAGGAGACCATCGGGCGCGCAAACTGTAAGCGGCCTGATTGGTTTGATGAGAACAATGCGACGATCGGAGCATTGGTGTCAGAGAAGAATGCAGCATTTGCTGCACATGTTGCAGACCCCAGTGACTTGGGGAAGAGTAGCCAGTTTCGCAAACTTCGACGGCGACTGACCCGAGAGCTCCGTCGCATAAACAATGCATGTTGGACGGAGAAGGCGAAGCAGATGGAATGCTACGCCGAACGACACCAACACAAGGAATTCTTTGACTCCTTGAAGGCGGTGTATGGACAGAGATTGGAGCCGCTGAGGACACCGCTCGATGGTAGTTCAGGCGCTACCTGCACACAGACTGCAGACATAATGCAGATCTGGCGACAACACTTTGACTGTCTCTTGAACAACCGTTCAGAGATCGACTGGCCTACATTGAACGGCCTCAAGCAGCACGATGTGAAGGCTAATCTGGCGGATACGCCGATACTAGATGAGACGCAGAGAGTAATTGCTCAGCTGCCAAATGGCTAATGTGCCGGAGCCGACGGGATCCGGCCTGAAGTATTGAAACACGATGGACCCGCGTTTTTGACTGCGCTGCACCACTTGGTGCAACACGTATGGATTGAGGAGGAGGTGCCTCCTGAGCTGAAGGATGCCCTTGTGCTA